GTTTTTCCAATTTAACTTTAGAGCCATCAACAACTGGAATAAGAACTGTTAATCCACTTGAAGCTATGGTTTTAAGCAAGATTTTTTTTATTCAAATTTGACTCTGTTTCTTTGTAAAAGCATATTTATATTTGCAAATTCACTGCTTCTCAGTTGTTTCTCTTTTTAATTCATTAATGCAAATACCATACAAGTTCAGACATCTCAGTTTAGTTTAGTCTTTAGTTTACTTAAGATATATTTTTATTATTTTTAGAGGCTAGTAAATGTTGCTGAATTTTAATGCAGCATGGCTTACAAGAAATGGTAGCTACAGCAGCCTTGGGCAATTTTTGCATGTCTTCACTGTAAAAGAAACAGGTTCAGAAGACAGAGGAAAGGGAATTCTGTTTTCACTGAACACCAGACCTGGTTTCTGGAGGCTTCATACAGATAGAATGACAGCTCTAAAAATTAAAAAGGCAAAATTTGTCATTAATTATGTACCACAAGATATTGTGACCTGTTAGGTTAACTATCCTCTTCCCCTGTTGTTCTCTTAATCCTCATCTTATTTGAGCCTCAGTTAAAAATGGAAGACCTCAAACTCAAATTCAGCACTTTACCTGTTTGTTTGTATATAACATTCCTGCATTCAGGAAATTTGTGGCATTTCAATATGCAGAAAACATGTAAATTTGAATTCAGCTCTTTGCTGTACCGTTCCACCTAGTATGTACATCAGCACAGCTGTCCATATGGAGACTTTTTACTCTGATTGCGGATTGTTTTAGCTGCATACTTTTTCCTTTGTTAGTTATCTTCTTCAGTCAGTTTGGTTACAAATATTTCCACATAAAGCTTTATACTCTCATGTCAGTGGACTTGTAAAATGTGTCCATTTCCAACATGAAATGTCAGTGCTTATTAAGCTCATGAATGAAATGAAATGCCAGGTTCTCCTGATGTACAACCTTCTGGGCATACTTATTAATGCAAAGCCGCTAGAAAACCTTTCAATTACAATTTGAACTTTTGCAAACAGCAATTCCTTATTCACGGTCAATTTGGAGGCTCTTCCTCACTTAAAATATGTAAGAGAACAAACTAATTAGACAAAGTTGTAGAAATGGTAATTGATTTTTTTTTTTTTTTTCTGATAAATAAGTTGTACGTATGCATTTTAATCCTCCAGCTGGGGAAAAATGCTTCTACATAGAATTCCTCTTGCAAAGATTTAGTACAGCAGTGCACCCAAGAAATTGCCTCTTCATTTACTGTTTACATGTCTTTGCCAATAGCAGTTTAATTTTAGATATAAAACTATCTTCAGTACAGTATGGCCCTGCCTTGTCCATATAATACATAAAACGCCTACAGATTCCATTGAACAACTTTACAGGGTGTAAGTAGTGGCTGAGAGTTAGAGTTGAGCTTTTTATTACTGTAGGTAGTATTTAATTCCATGCCATTGTTTAACCTTCAGTGTGGTTACTCTGGGAGATACGTTTGAGTTCAGCATCTTATTTCATGTTCTCTGTGGGTTTCTTACACCGAAATGATACAGTTGTAGAGTGAACTGTGTGCTGAAATGAAGTCTGCTGAGACTAAGAATACCTGAACCTTCAGTATTCATGCTTTTAAAGTTCTCATAAAATAACTGCCTGTGTATTTTCTGTCCTTCTGTTGTAATAATCCCACCCTAAAAAGGCAAACTGCGTAAAGGGTTACCACTAATTGCTTTATGAAGAAGTAGTTTAAGTGTGCTATGAGTTCTATTTTAAAATATGAATGCATATGTATATATGCATATATATATAAAAGCAATATTTTAAATGCAAAGGAGTCTTCTGAATTCCAAATGTTTGGGTCATCTTTATCAAGAATATTTTTAACTCTCTAAGACTGATTTCATCTCAATCTCATGCAGATCGAGGAAGATCTTGGCAAAACCAGTTGCAAATCATTTTACAATACATCTCTTGTGTAAGCAGTAGCATGACACAGAGTGCAAAAAAAGAAGGGTCAGAGACCCTGCAACTTGTGCTGTGTTGCAGTGAGTGCTCAGCAGGATTTTAGGTGAACCCATTTCCTATCACACTGCAATGGACTGCCATCACCTCTGTGCTCCATCACTGTCTCAGCTGGAGAGAAAGTGAATGGGAGGCAAGAACTGGCAGCTATGAGAATTGGTGATGCACGCATCAGGGGTCAACTTGGAGTGACCTCAAGGTCTTTTAAGTTACTCCATTTGTAATAAGAGAATGCCAGAAGATATATATAGTCTATGTATAGCTTTTATATATATATATATACACACACACACGTGTGTGTACAGACAATTACTCATATAGAGATGTATTCCAAATCTGCAATATATGTATGGTTACACTTCTTCACACTTGCTGCAGTTTCACAACTGTTTCAGTACCTATTTCTCCTGCAGTTACATCTTCCTAAAATGTAACCCAACAAGTCCATCACAGCCATATGCTCAGGTGTATGTAGTCATGCTTTCCCTGCTCTGTGGAGCCACTGGTTCATCCAATCAGTAGATCATCCTGTATTAATGCCCTGAGTACTAATGCTAAGAAAACTTTCTGGTTTCCTTTAACTAATAAGGGACTCTCACTCCTTATCAGCATCACAAGTAACAGCAAGAGCTTTGTAAATGGAGAACATCACCATGCCTGTTTTGGATTTGTTTACCTAATCTGTCTGTATCCTTGATTACACAAGAAACACAAGGACACAAGAGAAAAGTGTCTCAAGATCCTGATGAAGCACCGGGGTCTTCAGCTGTGCTGTAGCATTTGGTGCTTTGTGCTCTGTCCAGAACCCATGCAGAACCCTGGATCTGTACAGCACTTTGCTCTTCTCTTTTGGATACTCTCTAGGTTTGCAAGGATGAGGGCTGTCACCCTTTTATTATATTAGCATCTATTATTACTCATTACTTGTTAAAAACAACCTTAAAATACATTTTGCTATCAGACAGATATTTTTATAATGGAATAACATTTGCACTACTTACAGATATAGTGACTGCATAAATGGAAACAGTTGCTGTAATGGTCTTTCCAGAATGTTTTATCTGAAAAATTTTGGCTCAGCCTATTTGGGTGGAGTTCATTTTCCTGTAAAACAAACAAGTAGAAATCTATATATTTCCTATCCAGAGCATATTAAAAATTTACAACAGATATAAAAATGAAGAATTAAGAGAAAGAACATTTGATATTTGAGCAAAATTTAGATGTTCTGTAGTAAAATCCACAGAACATTCACCAGTGCCAGTACTGTGCTTGTCTGCTGGTAGAGTCGAACTATAACACCATGAGAAGTTTACATTTCCAAAAAAAACTGTCTTAGTTCTCATCACTCTAAACACTCAAAGATATCAGTGAACTTCAGTAATGCTAAGAGGAGCTGAAAGAATTGATTTAGATAACAAAAATCACATAAGAGGAAAATCGGGCATCAGATGATCAAAAGATCCAACATATGTTTGGATGGTTATCCATATTTGAGATAAGTGTTCCTCTGGGGTCTCAAACAGAGAAAAGGTGACTGACTGGCTTGGAGGATGCACTTAACTTTTAAATGCCCCCTAGAAGTGCTATAAATGCTACAACAACATGTATTCTCAAGATTCCCAAAGAGTCTTTCACAACCCACTCCTATAATTTAACCACTAGTCAGTCATGTGGCCAACTTAGCAGAATGAGGCTATACATTCCTAATAAAACATGCTAACCTCACCCCGTGTATGAAAATGTACGTTATGTCAATAAAGGAAAGAACAGTGAAAGGGAAACAATGTTTTAATAATGGCTCTATAGAAAAAAAAAAATACACTGGCCAAAGCATTAATCTGCGTAAGTAAAGAAAGAGCATATCAAAAACTAGCGTAAACAAAATAGGCAGCCATCTTGCCTGAAGGTTTTCTTTGTTGAAAATACACATTTTTTCTGAAAAACAGCAATACAGCAGCAGGTTTGTCCTCACTCATTTGGAAGCAAAGAAGCAGAAAGAGACACAAAGACTATGCGTGGGCAATTCCTGTGTCGTTTGTGGAATAGTTGCCACCTTTCTTAGCGAGGATTATTCCCAGTGCAAACAATTGTTCAGTTACTTCATTGGCCCCTGAGAGGAAGTAGAGAATGGAATAATTCATTAGTTAGAGAAAACTGTCCTATCAACTGATGAGTGATATTGCCCTGCTAGTCTGCTTGCAGTTCATAATGTGGAGCACCCATAAGTATATTGATGAAAAAGGACATAGCTATTGAGTAGACATCTGTGGGACAGAGGCCATCATTTTCTGTGAGGTCATGGCAGGCAGGTAACTGAAATCCACTTTCAGAGTTTCATCACACTTCACATTTGGATTTCAGGTACATCCATCACAAAGCTGAGGTCCATGCCAAGCCTTGAGTGGGAACCTCATGAACGTTTAGCATCAGGATCAGATGGTGGCTTCTTGAGTGCAGCAAATGATTTCTTAGGGTTGGATTTTATTTTCACTGCTGCTGTTGTACTAGGTAAATCAAAGGAGATTGCTTCACCATTTTGCTTAATAACGTTTTATCGTTACTGGTAACTAATAGTCTTAACCTCTAGCAGAGAGGGAAGCAACAGAACGACTCTGGCATAGAACTGATCAAAGCAGACAATTTGAAGTTGTAATTCACTCTTTCTGTCAATATAAACTGACAGCACAATTATATCCCTTCAAAACAAGGCTGCGTTTAGGAATTGCTCAGGAAATACTTACGGGGTGTAATTATTACTTAAACACATCACCTACAGAAATCTCACCACACAAACAAGTAGATGAGGTGTTTCATTCCTGTAGCTCTTCTTTGCTGATGAAAATAACATTTTCATGTTTAGGTAACTTTAAATCTTCCTTTTAAAAATGCTACAGTGGAAGTACAAGACAATGTTGGCTCCGTGCTTGAGGTTTACCACACTCATTTTTTAAACTAGCTCTTTGTCTTTCCCCTGTTTTTCTGCAGCAGTGAAGATCATGGATGAACTAGAATCATCAGGTGATGACATTTTGGTTACAACCAGCACATACAAAACGTTGCCTTTCCTTATCGGTTCAAGCGATCTGTTTGCCACGCAGCCAGAGGTCACTTTTACAGGAGCACTGCCACCAGACCAAACTCTACTGCCCACAGTGACCAGCCCATTCTACAGCCATTCTGTTGTCATTGACCAGTCCCCTGAAGTACCAGACACCTCAATGCCAGAGGCTGCCAGCGCTCTTCCTGACCGTGCCAGCACAGGAGTGCAGGACATTGCTGCTGAGTTGGACGGCACTGGTGTGAAAAGCACAGCAGTGCTGGATGAGGCAGAGCATGGCAGTGGCTACATCTCAGTGCAGACAACTGAGCCTGTAGAAGTCACCCAGGCTCCCACACTGAAGTATGTGACCACCAGCTCCATGACAACGGCAGCCAAAGGCAAAGAACTTGTGGTTTTCTTCAGCCTGAGGGTAACCAACATGCACTTCTCTGATGATCTCTTCAACCGGAGCTCGCAGGAATACAAAGCTCTAGAACAACAGTTCATGCAATTGGTGGGTGATGAGCAACTTGAACAACACATGCAATAGTCAGACACAGTTTGAAAATAAATGCACATCCCTCATCACTAAATTACATTAATTATTGCTCCATAACTCAGGAAAAACAGTTACTAGCTTCTGTGAGAGCTGTACCAAGGGGTTTTGGCAAGGAATTTCTGATTTATGCCAGTTGGCTCAGTCAGCCCTGGAAAGCACAGTATTTTAACAGCATCCGACCCTGCTGCAATTTGGTCTGATAAGCAGCGCTGTTAAGGGACTTATAACCCAGGGACGTTCTCAGGATGTGAAAAAACACCCAATGAACTCAATTATTGAAGTATTTACTTGTTCAAAAGACTCCAGATATATGCCTTGCGTGTCACTATTTGGCTTTATCTTAGACTACACCAACAATTCTGAATACATCTAAGACTTGTATCTCTATGCCAAATTTAAAAATAGCCTTATAAAAGATATCATAGCTTAGCAGAGGCTAAGCTAGTGATTAAATATGGATTTTCTTTATGGGTACAATAGGGCAACAGGTCAGCTCAGTAGCACACCTGTTATGCTATGTTCTAATCTGCCCGGATTGAATATTTGAAAATAATTACAGTTGGCTTTTGAGTGTGGTGATATTTTTTTCTTTCAGATGAACAAGTTCCCCAGCTGCCATGCATTTCATTATAGGGAAAATTGCTGCTGTCCAACTCAATACATTATTAAGAAAGACACAAGAGTCACAAAAATACCAAAAAATAAAAAGGTGAATTTGGTTGTGAAGTTTAGCAGTGATATTAAAATCAGAGAAAAAGTGTGTAACGTGTACTTGATAAGTAAAAACAACTAGAAGAGAAATTACAGTAGCTAGGCACTGATAAGGTAAAATAAAAATGCTCTTTTGTTTTGCAGCTACTTCCATACCTCCAGTCCAACCTCACAGGTTTTAAGCAACTGGAAATACTTAACTTCAGGAATGGAAGTGTGATTGTCAACAGTAAAATGAAATTTGCCAGAACAGTGCCATATAATATCACAGAAGCAGTACATTGTGTTTTGGAAGACTTCTGTGACGCTGCTGCCCAACACCTCAACTTGGAGATTGACAGCTACTCCCTGGATATTGAGCCAGGTAAGATAACATATATACTAAACCAAAACCTAGCAGGTATTTTTTTCCCCAGATTTTACAGCTTTAGAAGGATTGCTTTTTTAGAAATAATTATATTATGAATAGCTTACTAGTGAGTGATCAGAAGTAATACAAAAAAAGATCTTGCAGATTCAGCTATCTGCACATCAGTTTCCATACTGTAGTGAAATGCTAAATGGAAGTGTTGGTCTCTGCATACAGCAACTGCTTTTCAGATCAAGAGCCAAGTGCTGGGAAACAAAAATTAGAACAATGGCTGGGTGAAGACAGGAATAAAAAAAGCTTAAGTGCAGTTCACAAGAATGACTCATCCAAATCTTTTATCTGAGTAGGTAAAACATCATTTCTGATGATTTTTGCAATGTAAGAAAATCTTTGCTTAGGACATCATTAGATCTATCTTTAGAGGGCTATAGATTTCAGGACAGAATGAAAATTTCTAGGAATACTAGGATTCTACAGATACTCACTGTCCTAAATTTTAGTAATAGATAGCTCTCTGTGGATTTGTGATTCCAGAATCTCTCCTGATTTAAAACCTTACATAGTCATAAAATAATTTAGGTTGGAAAAAACCTTCAAGATCATCAAATCCAGCCATCCACCTGACCTACCAAGTTCCTACGTCTAAATCACATCCATTAGTGCCATGTGCACACATGTCTTATAAACCTCTAGGGATGAGGGCTCCACCACTTCCCTGGCAGACTGTTCCACTGGTTGACCACCTACTCCATGACAGAATTTTCCTTGATATCCCATCTAAATCTCCCCTGGTGAAACTTGAGACTATTTCCTTGTCCCCTGAGAAAAGAGACTGACACCGTCCTCGCTGCAGTCTCTTTTCATGTATTTGGAGCAATGAGGTCTCCCCTCAGTCACTTCTTCTCTAAAGCAAACAGCTCCAGTTCTCTCAGCTGCTTCTCATAACTTTCTAGTACCTTCACCAGCTTCCTTGCTGTTTTCTGCAGATGTTCAAGCAACTCAGTATCCTTCTTGCAGTGGGGAGTCAACACTGAACACAGCTCAAGGTGTCAAGTACAGGAGGACAATCACCTCCCTGCTCCTACTGAAACACTATTTCTGATAGAAGCCAGGATGTAATTAGCTTTCTCGGCCAACTGGGCATGCTGCTGGCTTGTATTCAGTCAGCTGTGAGCTAAAACTCTCAGATTCTTTTCCTCTATGCAGCTTTCCAGCTACTCTGCTCCAAGCTTGTAGAGCAGCATAGGATTGTTACGACCCAGGTGCAAGACCTGCACTTGGCCTGGTTGAATATCTTGTGACTGGACTCAGCCCATCAAACAGGCCTCTACAGGATCTCCTGCAGAGCCCTCCTTTCCCTCAAGCAGATCAATGCTCCCACCCAATTTGACGTCATTTACACCCATCTTGTTATCTCTATACAAATGTGCTTCTAAGTCTGAAGTATTTGTTAAACAGAAGAAAGTCAGTAACAGCATATCTAGACACCAGTCTAACATGGGAAGTTTAGAGTATTCTGAGTCGCACCTTTTTGGTGGTATTTTTCCTCACTGACTTCTGGCAACTTGAGCACAAAATGTCCATTTACTATTCATGAAGACACTTTCTAACCTGTCTGCATTTTATCTCCTTGTGGCCACTAAGAGAATCAAATGCGTGTGGCAAAGAAAGTTAACAAAACTACATTGTCTGAACTCCAAAAAGCTGCTGCAATAAACTGATGTTTTACTGAATGAGGGATAAAGGAGTCCTAGAAAAAATTGAATTCTGGGCTGCCATAGGTTCTCTGCTTTGGTAATATATATTGAATAAATCACGTTTAGAAATTCAGTGTATTTCCACACGGGTGTTTCATAGCCCCACAGTATTTTTATTTTGTGGAAGGGTGGAAAGAGTAGTAAATTAAGGTAATGCCAGCAAATTCCTACTTATTGTGAAAATAAGAGCCATCTAGTGGTAACAGCGTTACATCACAAGGAAACGCTGATGGGAACTGACAGCCCAAAGCACATAACCAGACTCAGCAGCTTTTACAGCTGTAAAAGCACTAACTACATCTGTCATAAATAATAACAAAGAATGATGTAGCAGGCTTTTAAAAATATCTGCATTCATTTTGTTTTTTGTCAGCTAAACAAAGTGAAAACACAGAGAAGGTTAAAGAGCACAGCAGGTACAAAGCCCGAAACTTTGTTAAGGGAAATGAAACACCATCACCAAGCACAGCAGTCTGCTCATGCCTAACTCACCCTATCACAAAGAAATACTGATACCTTCCAGCTTCTTAGCATTGCAGGACTGTAGCACACACTGACCACAGAATGGCTTGGATTGGAAGGGACCTCAAGGCCCACGCAGTCCCAGATCCCTGTAGCAGGCAGAGCTGCCCCCCAACAGCTCAGCTGCTACAGGGACCCATCCAGCCCGGCCCTGAACACCTCCAGAGATGGAGCAGATCTTTGAGTGTTTTTTAATTTCTGCAGGCCAGTCCTTATACCAAATTCTCCACCACAGCTAAGAGAAGGTGCATTAACCTCCTTTGGAGAGTTCAGGTCACTCAGAACCTGCTGTGCTATGTAGCCCCGCTCCTGCCTGTCCATCTGCCCTCATTTCCATTCACATGATCCTTAGTTTTTGCCTTACTGGATTCACACAGCTTACTGAAACAGTGTGCTGATAAAAATAGAGTCTGTATCCCCTGCACTACTTTTCATCTTCTGCCTTCTATTTATGGGCCACACCTTATGACATGCATGAAACCACCTCCAAGAGACAAGAGGGCTGCAGTCTTCCTTCTTACATCTCCATCAGCACTCAGCTGGGCTGAGCTCTGCCTTCAATAGCTCCTTCTGGGTCCTTCGTGCCTTTCTAGGAAGAAGCAGAGAATGGGGAAAAAGGCTTGTGTGACAGCTGAAGTCAGGGCTTTGCAGTACCTCTGACCTGGGCCTGCCCAAGGCCCAACACTGGCAAAATCATTTTCATTTAATTTCAAAGAGGTATCCCTGACAATATATATATATATATCAAAATAAACACACAGCAAGGTTTTCCCCATGCTAATGCACGTATTTTCGGTGGACAGTGCTGTTATTTCTAGCTTGCAGTCTTCATAGTGTTGTGCAATACTCACTAAGCTGATTCCTTCCCCTTGTTATGCCCTAGAATATGCTTCAGATGGTTACAGCAGAAATTAGTTCTTATACAAATATAAGAGAGTAGCATAGCATCCTTGAGTACAAAACAAGGGCTTTAAAGTAAAAAACAAGAATGGATCAAAATATTCAAGTATGAAAAGCCTTGACAGTGAGAAATGGTAAAATCACAGGATAGGAGTAAACAATTATACAAGTAAACATAAGCTTTGCAAGCTTGCTGTGTCAACCAGAGAAGAAAAATGTGTCCCCTTATGCCATATTATACCCCATTAACATGTACAAGCGTGCACTGTTTACTCTGGCTGCCACCCAGCTTCCCAAATACTTGGAGGGTGACATCTCAATGCTCCCATTAATGATTTACCCATCCTTTACAGCTGATCAGGCAGACCCATGCAAATTCATGGCATGTGATGAATTTTCCAAATGCATAATGAATGAGTGGACAAAAGAGGCTGACTGCCTTTGTAAACCCGGTTATGCAAGCCAGGATGGATTGCCCTGCCGGAGCCTGTGCGAAATGGAACCTCATCTTTGTGACAATGGTGGGAAGTGTGAGTTAGTTCCAGGAAGAGGAGCTGTCTGCAGGTAAATAAATGATGCTTAACTGGAACTCTGTTAATGGACCCCTGATTCTATTCCATGAACAAATGGAGCTGAGTACGTACTTTTCAACAGCATAAACTGTGCTGATTAGCCAAGAATTCAATATTCACACACTTCAAAACACTGCCACAATTCATTTTCTGCAGTAGGAGTCACAGAAAAGGGAATTGAGCTCAGTGACTTGCAAGACAGGCCATAGTGCAGCAGCAGTATTTCAGTTTGGAACCCATCACCTAATGGGGTCCTCCTGAAAGCTCTACTGCAGTAGCAAAGTGAGCTTTGAAACCAACCCACTGCAGAAAATAATCGCTTCCCACTTCAGAAAGGCCCAGGTGCAGAAACTACCAAACCAATGGTAAGAGTACTAGAAGTTCTAAAAGTAATACGCCAAAATTGTGTAAATTATAGCAAAGTGCATACAAACGTAATGCTAGTCTCAGACTAACAGCTCTGCCCATTCGTACAGTCTGTATAGTAAGTTCTGACCAATGTGGGAGCATCCGTTTGTGAATTTACTCAGAACCACGCCATTTTTTCCACCAACTGGAAACCCTCTGTTCTCATAAAATACAGTAATCTTCTGCTTTGTCTTGAAGAAGCTCTTTATAGTGGAATCTCTTACTTCAGACCCTGCTAGTCAGATTAAAGCCACCAGTAAACAGAATATAGGCTTCAGAGGGATGTTCAAGAATTATTCTGAAACACACCTGAACTTCTAAGGTACCACAACACGAATGTTATTTGACCTTTGTTAAGTGAACAAAGAACCAATCTGTGGCTTTTTGTTTAACACTCACTGTCATGAATCTAAGAGTATTTTCCTTCCTCTGTTATGAATCACATTATTTCATACAGGTACATAGATACAGATACATACAATAATACTGTGCTTGTATTTAATTGCATGTTCTCCTTTGTTTTCATTTGAGGTATTCTGCATTTTCTGCCCTCAAGTTCTGTATATTTGTCTCTTCCTCTCCCCATTTTAGATGTCCTGTACGCAGACACAAGTTTTACCAAGAACAGCGCTGTGAAAAATTTGCTCCAGAACCCACACAACCCTTCACTTTCAAACCTGTCATTCTTGGCTCACTGAGCCTTGCTTTTCTTTTCATCATTTTAATTATTAAGTTAAGAAGAAAATGCAAAAGAAACCCTAATTTGGAGTAAGCGGCTCATGATCTTTTTCCTCAAGTTTCAAAAAATAACCCTCTTTTTTCATTTTGCAATTTGAAATTTACCTAAACAAAAATGTTCTGCATTGTAGAAGGCCCACTCTCAGCAGCCACAATTCAGAAAATGCTGCAAGGATGAACTCCGCTTTCGAACACGATGAAGCCATAACTGGCTTTTACCACACGGTTTGTAGTGTAAGTGCTTGTGCCAGTAGCTCCTCAGAGACCACTGACCAAGAAGCATTACACAGACTTGAAAACACAATTCACTACGGAGGTAAAATGCATGGAACTTCTTTTCTTGTTCCTCAACACATAGCACCACTCAAATAACAGCTCCATCTGCATGTCTTACCTCTATAACTAAATTAAATCTGATCTTAAGCTCTTGCTCAGCAATTTCAGAACTAAGAACACTAATTTTGGTATTTATTTTTTAGTTTTCACATTTACTGTCATCTTTGTTTCCTAACAGAACGTAGAACTGCTTTTCGTACAGCTCTTTTGCATGGCTTTGGTGCTCCACTCTATCCAAGTGCCTTTTGTAAATTATTGACTGAAATAACCTCTTTTTTTTTTTTACCTTTCCAATTTCATGTTTTAGGTCACCAGACCAGTTTACAAAGCCAGGACTGACAAGTTAGTCTGTGAAATTCTGCATTTCCCGCATCAGACAGACAAAACCAAGGTTTGTGATGATTTTCAAGAGCTTTAAACCTCTACTGTTTCCTCTTGGCAATGTTACTAGGAAGCCTCTGTAGTTCAAAAAAATCATAGAATTGTTAAGGTTGATAAAGACCTCTAAGATCATCTGGTCCAACCACCAACCCATCCCCACTGTGCCCACAAACCACATCACACAGTGCCACATCCATAGGTCCTTGAACACCTCCAGGGATGGTGACTCCACCAGCTCTCTGGGCAGCTTGTGCCAACGTATCACCACTCTTCCTGAGAAGAAAATTTCCTGATATCCAACCTGAGTTCTATACAGAGAAAAGCTCATTTTTCTTTGGAAGCTTAATAGGACAACAGTTATTTAAACGTGAAGAAGGAAGGAATATCTGAAATCAAAGTTGGAAGTTCAACACAAATGCAAAAAAAAGAGGAAGTTTTAATAGGAATGACAGATTGTTTAGAAAATATTGCTCAGTGCAATTTAAATTGTTAGAAGTGTACTGACACAGCTCTCCCCAAGATCTGGTCACGGAAATGAATTTAGTTGAGAAATGAGGCAACTACATGGAATGAACAAATAATTAGAAGTATTTGGCCATTTTTCACAAGTAAAGTTCAAAAATGAGTATGCACGTCAGAGGCTTTTGGTAAAATATGCCTTTAACAACTGGGAAAAAGATGACAGAGAAAGGGGAGGAAAAATAGATGTAGAACACAGCTTTTGTGAGCTGAAACTAAGAGCAACACTTCTATGTCACTTCCCAACTCCTTTGAGGACAGGATTTTAGAACAGAATGTGTTACTCCAATCAAATTTTCAGGGAGAGATGGATATCTAGAATTTTTATGCCAAACTGAAAATGGCAATTTTATAATTTTGTTTTGCTTTGCATTGCAATGTGTAAGAAATACATTTCATGTCTCTGTGAAGAACTGGTTCGTCCTTTTCTAAGCTCAGAAGAGAACAAATTCTTGCAAGCGGGTGACAATGACAGACAGCACTGTGCATGGTTAGCCTCTGGGAACGCTGCCTGTCTTGCTCAGCAAGCAGTCATGTGAAAAAGAAAAGAATTGTGAGTCAAAGCAGAATGCGACAAGCTAGAATGTATGCATTCCAGAGGATAGGCCCCTTCAGACTGAAACAGCAAACGTCCTGAGAAAGTGATCCTGCCAACTTGATTTCTCTGCTGCCTACCTCAGCGTGGCACGTGCTCTTCGTTCCTTAGAGATGAAAGTTGAAAACATGAGCTCATTCAAAATGCAAAATTTCTCTTGTGATATCTCCTGTCCCTATCAGGGATGCTGCTGGATCTTCTCTGTTCAGCCAAAAGGCTGCTGAAAAGTAAGATACTGCTTTCAGCTGGAGGAGTATTACCTCCAGCTGTCTGTAACATCTCTTATTTTGCAATTGATCTGTCAAATGCTATTCTATCAACGTGTCATTTATTTGTGCTCTTACACGCATTTGGGGTAAATAAGCTTCATTTTCAACGTGTTATCTGGCAAAATTCAGTAATGGATCTAACCCCAAGGACGAAAGAAAAGATGATACTAAATCTAATTCGCATGGATACAGATGACTTATTTTGATGCAGTGCAGATCAAGCTTAAAAGCCATTATAGATTTCCCCTCAGAAATATACAAAATGTCATTCTTTGCTCATCAAAACCAGTGACTATCATGCAGCATCGCCCTCTGCAAGAGTCACTCTCAGCCACCAAGATGACTGAAATCATATTTGAGAAGAAAACAAAGACTGCCATTTATTTTATTCTCATGTCAGTCACTTGGACAATCAAGCAAACAGTATTTTGGATTAAAATGATAAGACAGCACTGCAAGTTGGAGCTTCCCATCAATATCACAGGTCAGTGTTTCATTATCACAACCATGAGACGACCTGAAGCACCACAGGGATGGATGATCTGGTCTCTTGGTTCATGAGTAACACACATCAGGTTTCACAAACGTGTGAGTTTGCTCAGCAATGCTGCTGTTCTTACACCAAACTGAGGCTGCGAAACTAAACATTCCAAATTGTAATTTACTCCAAGCATGCTGTAATTGTGAATCCTAGGCCCTTTAGCTATGGCTTCTTTTGCAGCACAAAAAAATGCTCCAAGCACTGAAAAAATGCTCACAAGTATGTTCTTCAAATTATGATGATATAGTCAATATTTGTTATTCACACAGAAACACAGCATTGTCACACCAGGGAGGAAAAATCATAATTCTTCTCAATGATTTAGTATGTAAAATAGCTTCAGGTGTAGGATCAACTTAATTCTCTTTAGAAGGAACTAGAGATGATCTCAAAAGATTTGAGTTCTTTGCTTTGAACAGTAGTAAAATTATGTATTTTGAAATTCAAAATGTCTTATGAGAATTTCTTCTACAGGTATTCAGAATAAGGAGGTTCGCATTATTCAAGACTGGAGTTCAGGTGGACAATGCATAACAAAAAATCAGAGGATTCCTAAAGATGCATCACTTCCTCTTTAACATCAGCACACATTAAACACATCGTGTCATTACAGAAAAACAGCTCGACCTTATTGCTCAACTGTGTGACCATGTCTAAAACTTGACTGGTAAGAAGTAACCTGTGATAAGGTGCATGCATTAAGCATACAGTATGTATATATCTTAATGCTATTTGTAAGAGCCTAGTGCTAGCAACAGCTTTTGCTCAGAAATGACATTTTTTGCAATACTGTATCATTCCAATCAGCCTGGAAGAACAGACAAAACTTTAAAGCAGACCTACACTATTTTATTAACCTTTCTTACACACACTAAAGCAAAGCAAGTAGCAAACGTGGAAATAAGAGCTGTCACTAGTAACGTTCTTACCTCTTACCAAAGGCTACATTAAAAGCATTCGGGAACATTTTCATCCTCTCCCTGTAGCACACAGACCAGAAATCACACAGAAGTTGTAGTTATTTTTAAGAGCTTCTCTGAATTTAAGATTCTTATGTCTCTGTCACTTAAAGCATAATGTATACATATACACTTCACTAGTTAATTCCTGGTGATGGAATCCCATCACAAGTGAGGTTGACAGGGACCTTTGGTTCACCCGTCCCAACCCCCACACAAGCAGGGACACCCAGAGCAGGGTGCCCAGGGCCACGTCCAGTCGGCTTCCAAAGAGCTCAGGCCACCTGTCTAATCCTAGGACTTCAAACTTTCTGAATAGGTGAAGTGCTTGTAGTTTTCTTCATCCTTTAAGAGCATGTGATTCACATTCCCAGCTACCTAGGGAATAAGTTACAGTCACGCACAAACACACTTTAAACTCAGTACATACCAATCATATCGAGAGGTTACTCTTAGTTTCTCTAGAAGAAATCTTGGCAGAGGATGAGAGGCCATTAATTATTGAATAGGCTTAACAATTCATGCTCTATGAATCCATAATCCTGACTCAAACAGGAGCATTACTTTACCTTGAACACCTTTTTCTTGAGTATATGCAAATATACGTGCCCTGCCAGTGTTGTATTACATTCAGGCACTGTTTGGCACCTGGCACAAATCTGAAGTTGTATGTACAGCTGAAAGTGAGCTTCTAAAAAGTTCATGGCTACAGTGGATGACAGCTTCTCATTCAGATGTGAAACCTGCATGTATTCAGGACAGTAGCTGATTTCTGTTGTAAATCTTTCTAGCTTTCAGTACCACACAGTTACCACAACAAAGAATGAATTTTACCTTCTTATACGCCCTTGACAGTGTTTATAAATCCCAAATAACTGCACAAACAGGTCTCCTTGCAAAACCAACAGAACTGATGATTATGTACAAATGAAAGCAATGCACCAAGGAAACAATTCTAGGATTCTACAGCTGAAATTGTATTTCTACTTCCTCTGTTTCACTAGGAAATACTTTAAAACAAAACAAACCACTAAAGATGCCGTTTTACACAGTACCTTCAGTATAAAGCTCACTTTAAAAATACTTCTTACGTTGCATGGGACATCACCCATGCCAGCAGTGTTAGCTTTTTACAATTGCTCACATAAGTTAAGATGCATTAAGAATGCTGAAGGCATTCTTTCCTTTTTTTTTTTTCATTACAAATGTATTTTTGTATGTGTTTAGCATATCTCTCCCCATACCCATTATCATTAGCTTAAAAAAATAAGTAATTTTAAGTTGTGTACTTTAATAATCATTATTCATGTATGTATTTATCACTCTTAACTATTAATTACCAAATATATTTGCTGGATGTAAGCCTTTTGTATTTCAATAAATTATAATAAAACCATCTCCTTGAAAATTTTGCTGGGATTGAACTGGTATTTAATCTTACACTAAGGTGCATCACATCATTTTAAATGTGATGTTAAATTGTACTTTAACTGCAGTTCCAACCATAGCATAAAGATATTGACACAAAGTTATGCCTAAAAACGTTCAAAGCCTGAATTACTTCAACTGTATTGAACTGAAAAATAATACTCTGATTTGGCCCTTGAAAGAGGCAAGTTTGAAGCCTTTACTTCTTTTTTCTTCAACTCCAAAACTCTCGCAGCATATAAACTCAGCACATCCTAAATAGTTCCACTAGTCACTGTTAAGAAAATGAAGCAGATGCAAATGGTAAATACCATAGAAAACAATATTTGCACTGATTACAATAAAGCTCTTGTGGTAAAGCAACAAATGTTTGAAAAACAATTGCAATACAAGGATACAGGATTTAGCACAGAAGTCTTTCCATCTTTCTCATATCATAATTTACCCTTACTTACTCCACTTAAATTTTTCAAAATAAGAGACATGCAAGTGAGGTTTCAACGTGGAATGTATTTTATTTTTTAGATTTTCAGTACAGTATTAGGAGGTCATTTAAATACTTTAAAAATATTTTGGGGGGAAAAAAAAAACAACAGGAAAAAAAAAAAACAAAAAACAACCAAACAAGGGCTTCAGTGACAAAAAGAAAACCAATCTCAACAGTGGGTAATAGGCAAGTATGTAATGACCTTATGATCCTTGAGTAGCACTCTCTAGACTGGTACTTAGTCAGGAATGTAGCCCAGTGATTCTCTTCCTCTCCTTATTTTCTGGAGTGTTTCATGAAGTTCTCAACTATAATGGGCAGCTGCACCGACAGGGATGAGGAAATGTTTATATAAATGAGACACACAGAACCTCATTTTCCTTCAAAAACAACTTTTTTTTCTATTCCCTAGAGCTGTAGATCAGAAGGGCATTAGATAACAGCACAATCCCTAAGACCAGAGACTGGTGCCAAACCATCCAACAGTATCACAATCTGACACAGTAGATGAGACAACAGAGAAAAGCTGGAGAAGTAGATGAATATTTCTCATTTGAAAAAAAAAAAAAAAAAAGAGAACAACAGCAAGAAAATTTTGTTGCACAAAAAGATTGACAAAAACTAAAATTGTGTTGTTTTGATACAGAATGAACAGAGGTGTGCTACTGTGCAAACTAGAATACCCTGATTTATGGAATGTATCTTCTCGAGCACACTGCTCAACCAATGCAGAGATGGGGAACATCTAAACTGAAAACATCCAGCCACCAGTTCCTCCTCCACTATTTTATAGTCCAATACCTAATATTTGTCTATCGTATAACTAACACAAATTCCCATACACTCAAGTCAGGAAAATAAAGTTTCCTTCCAATACCAGTCTGTAGGCATCTTGCTGTCAAGAAACAGCCTCAGTCAAGGAGACACTGGCATAATGAAAGGAACAGACTGGAAAAATTAAGTTAACGATTTTATTTAGAGTTCCCCACAGTTATGTTTACAGATACGTATATATACATACACATATATATACTTAAGCTTTTATGTATATATATGTGTGTACACACACACACTTTAAGTACTGAGGTTCTTTTCTTAGTGTTCAGTCTTGTTAAGATCTGCTCTGTATATATAATCTGAGCCTGAACAGGAATTTAAATCCAGATAGAAATAAACATAAGACAGGGCTTCTCAGCCCTATCAATTCACTGATTTTCTTTTCCTTGTGTCAAATACAACGTCAAAGCTTTTGCAGTTTTAAGTTTTTGGAGACTGGAAGTTCTGAAACCTTCATTCCAATTCAATAATGCTTCATAAGAAGTGCCTTGAAAGTCATGTAACATTGTACAGATCTGCACACAACTTGCTAGTCAATTCTCCTATCATCTTCCAGCTAAAAATTACTGCTTCAGCTTAGAGGGCATTTTCAGTAAAATGAAAACACATTTGCCAGTTTGTAATCATGTGATCAAAAAGCAGAATGATTATGCAATGGAAGTTGAAGTTCCCTGATGTGGCCAATTCATACAGAGTTAATGTATTCCTCAAATACCTTCACATATATTACAGTAAGGAGTGCATTTGTAATAATAATTAGACATAGGCAGGCAAGCATAATTTCCGATCAGCGAGGACACACGCATCACAAGCTTTCTGTCTGTGCTACAAAAATGTATCTCTTGGAAGTCATTAATGACTTTTATCTATTTATGTAATTATACACTAAAGTTTATAAACATTTTTCAAAAGGTTTCAAACACAGTAAACTGAAAGGAAATTATTTCGTACTGTGAGCAAGCTGTCAATTTGTAGAGCAAGATTTCATTTTTGTATCAGGTTGAATAAGTAATGGGACAACAAGTTATTTATATTTCCAATTCTTAACAGTGAAATAATATATAGCTACACCTACTTTGTTGAAATAATGGCCAGCCTGGTGAAATAATCACATCAGTAAACGGGATCCATCTTGAAACTGAATGAAATTAGTAATTCCTATCCACCAAATCTCTCACTGCTTAATTAAGCAACTGTTACAAGCTAGGACACTGACAAAGGAGATCAAGATAAAGATCAGTGTCTGAATGACTGCAATAGTCTAGTATACTAAAAATTGCAGCTAATTCGTCAGCATGTAGATGATGCATTATGTTACTGGCCAAACTTTTACAATATCTAGCCAAAGGTACAGACTTTGTGCATCTCATTACAATTAAAATAAACAGGTCTCAGTGTTCAGTTAAGTTACATTACCATCCAGAAGCTGACCAGATTTCCCTTATGCTATCCTTATCTGCCTCCAGATACAAGTCTTGGACAGTTTTGCATGCTATATTTAAATTATACTACATGGATAAGTTAGTTGTCCAAGAATGGACATATTTTCTGAAGAGAAATTTGGTCCAAAAAATGAGATTTGTATTTAAAGGAAAAAAAAAAAGAAACAGAAATATGTGGTATAAGGTGTGATAAGCAGTACATTCTTTGTGTACAACATTACTCAATATTGACACACATGAATTCTCAGAATGCACAGAAAAAAATAGAGAATAACAGTAAGAAACAAAACAGAGAATACAGTAGGAATAGTAACAGAACAGTAACAGAAACAGTAGGAAATTATGAGTCTCAAGTATAGAAGGATTTCCCATCACTTTCAGAAAAAGTTAGTAAAAACAGACACTAACCACTTTTCAAATCAGGACATAAAATATCTCAGATTATACAAAAGTACACTCCAACTTCTTCAGAACAGAAGTCAAAGCTAAGGCCCCACAATTCCAGTTATGAGATACAGCATATACTGTTTACTAGTCCACCACTTAAAGCCCACTATTTAGTATTTTGAAGAGGGAATTTTATAAAACAGTGGTTGCAATGCTGTTCTTTGTACTATGTACCCAACTACTGATAGATCGTTTAAAGGTGTTAAGTGTTGTAACAGAAACTGCTAAGAAAAACGCAGTGTATAAACATAATGCTACAACCTACACTGACTGAAAATTCTTCAGGGTCCTCATACCTAGTAAAGCTGACTACACAAATTAAACAGAGTACAAATTAACAAACCACATGATTAATAAAATCTGTTCACTTTATATTAAACATCTCTAATATGATTAACGAACATTACGTCCTCTGTTGCACAGAGGAGCTCTTCCCTTTGTATCACGGGCAAGGGTTCTCATCATGAATGCTACTGTGCAAAATGAACATTTATTTCAACAGGTTCTGCAGCATAGCTGTAGCATACGTAGGACGAGCTTGTCTGCTTTCAATTGCATTTTGCAGGTACTGAATACCTCCACAGCGCTCCCAAATTTCCTCAAACTGTCTCGGCAAAATTTCAGCACCTCGCTTTCGAGTTAAGCCAGTCTCTTCAAGATTAAGCTCACACATATCCATATCATCCTTACCTGAAAACGTAGAGGAAGAAAGAAAAATCTTTAGAAAATTTTTACATCATTCCAAGGTCGCATTAGCAAAATTCATATCTTCATTAATGAGATTCCCTCTGTCAAACTCTGGTTTGTTAATAGACTTCATAGCTTATAAGGGAACCACTCTTCAGACAGATTTCTACTCACAGGACAGAAAAGCAGTATCAGAATAAACTACTTTCAGATGCTGAAACTGACAAAATTGTGATTAAAAAAAATCAAGCAAAGAGGAACAAAAGCAAGACGCCGAGAAAGATCAGCATCTCAATATACTCTCCTGAAATCCACTACAGGATGAATTTGTTTTGCACATACACACGGTTTTGCAGTCAAATGTTGTTATAGTTTTGTTTTTAAACAAAGTAAAGTGACTTGGAACTTAAGACTTGATCGAATTGCCTGTACCCTTAATCTGTCAGCCTCCCATGCTAAACAAACTGGAAGTACAGATGGTAGTGCCCACATGGAATCCAATGAAGTGATGAGTGCAGTTCACCAGCTGTATTTTGATCTTATTTTTCATAGGTGATCCATTGAATGTGGTATTCATGACAGCACTGCTACTTTTAGATAAGGGCTTTGAAACTGAACAGACAAAAGCTGGTATAATTATAATTATATTAAAAATAATTAGTAGAAAACCAAGGAAGTTTGGTTGCTACTAAAGCATCAGTTTGTAAAACTAAACAAATGGATTATGGCCTTCTCATCAGTTCTGAAGTCAAAGACAAGAACTCAAAACACTGAACTGTAAACCAACATTTTTTGCCCTTTGCATTATCCTCCAGAAAAAGAAGATGCAAGAAAGCCAACAGTATCACGGGCTGCATTAAAAAAGCATAACTGGAAACTTCAAGGAGGTGATTCTCCCTTGCTTCTATGCTCTTATAAGGCTCCACCTTGAGTACTGCATCCAGCACTGGGGCCCCACTATAAGAAAGACATAGACCTTCTAGAGCAGGTCCAGAGGAAAACTGTGAGGATGACCAGAGGGCTGAAGCACTTCTCCTATGAAGATAGGATGATACTTTGGGTTGGTTCAGCCAGGAGAAGGCCATGGGGAAACCTATAGCAGCCTTCCAGTCCTAAAGGGACCTACAGGA